CGCGGGGAAGGGCAGGCGCGCGCTCACCTCGACGACGCCGTCGCCCGCCCGGCCATCCCGTACCTGCCTTCCGCTTTCTCACACTAGCTAGCTTCCCCCCTGGCGCGAGCTCGAGGAAGGGACGGGGCGGAGCTAGGACACGTGGACGTGGACAAAGCAGAAAAGAGGCGGGCCGGGGAGCGCCGGGCGTGAACCATACGTTGCCAAGCCGCCTAACGTCAGACAAAAAAAAAAACCACAAACGGGGATGGCCCGGATTGGGACGCTGATGGCCAATCACTGAGCTGAAAAGAGAGCACTTAAGGCGGGGCTTATCAAGGTGTGGGGCCGTGTTCGCAAAATGAGCCAGTAAGAAGCCTTGCAAGGAGGGGAAGAGGAGAAGAAGGCGGGGACAGAACGAGAGGCGAGGCCAATGAGAAAGAGGAGTGGGCGGGGTTTTTATCCTCTGTAGGTGTGGAAACGGTGCGGGGCAGAACCTGGAGCGTCTTCAGCAGAGAGGCGTGAAAAGGAACCTAGCAAAGTGCTTAATTCGCAGAGGAGGACGCGGGTCAGTCTGTCGCCTCGCCCACCGCGAAAATGTATTTATTTAAAATATTGTTACCCCGCCTTTCTCCTTGAAAAGAACCCAAGGCGGCTTACATAGTTGAAACAAAATATTTAAAGCTGAAAACAGTGAGTATACCACGGTGACTTGCATCATTAAAAGACAGCATTTAAAGCGAAGAACTCTGTCGACCGCTGGGATCTATGAAAGTTTGTAAAATATTCATTAGCTTTTTAGCGTCCCACAGAGTTCCAGGGAAGGGAATAGAAAACCAACATCGGATATATAAAATGATGCAATCTAAATACAGAACTATGCTTTCTTAAGTTTTAATTTAAGGTAGTGACTTACTCGAAACAATATGCCCGTAATAAAACGATGTTCCCATTTTTGAGATTCATTGGGGGACAGTGCTATATTTTGGGCAGTGGCTTTTCCTTGATGTGAGAATTACCTACCGACGTGTGCTAAAGGTTGCCCTTCTTTTCGTCTGTGAAGTACTGGAAAGTGTGAGTAAGGAGCAATAGGTGAATTAGCCGAAACAGAAGACTTGGGGCACGAAAACGCCCTTGCAATTGAATCACTTGCTTAGTTCCTCCCCCCCCCCAAAAAGAATCTGTGTAATAGATTATTATGGGTCTTTGTGTCTTGAATGGCAAAGAGACTGTGTTCGGAAAGCAGGTGGATGAGCAGGAGATGATCCTTTTTAAAATAAGGATGCAATTTGTAGGACTATGTCAGCACTGGCATTTTTCACAACCACTCTCAATATTGTAAGCCTGTCACATGTTTGACTGAAATCCAGTAGTTATTTCCAAAGGCATGTTCAATCAGCTGCTATTTGGTGAGCCAATTCCACTGTCAGTTCCCTTGATTCAGAGGGCCTACCCTGATTGTGACTTACTACTGGACTTCAGATATTGGTTTGAATACATGCCTGCATTTACTACCTGTCTCTTCTTTAAACTGCATGATGTGTGTGGGGGGTGTAATATCATGCATCAAGATGCATGGGAACAACTTATTTCTTATAACCTCACTTAAACTGAGCTACTTATTGTCAGCTGGTAAATCTGGGATAATATTTCTAAGCACCAAATTAAAAACAGTGCATAGTGCAGATGTTTAGTATTACCTTGTAAACTTCTTCTGTGAAGCAGGAGATACCACTGCTCTTCTTCAAAAGAGTTAACTTTCGATTGATGCAAATAAATTGCTATTTTTGTATGATTAAGAATTATACAGAGGCTGTATTGTAGAGAGCATACGGGGGGACTATTGTCCATTTGATTTGGTGTTTATTTCCTATAAACCAAATAAACAGAAACTCTTTGTGGTATGTACAAAGTGTACCCTTTGAATTCATTCATAGAAAAAAAAATCCTTGATTGGTTAACCCCTTTCTTGGATGAAAAAAGCTGCATTTTGAGTCTGCCAAAACAAATAATCAGGCAAATATAGAATAAAATTTGAGATTAAGGCATGTCTGCATAGAAAGGAGAATCTATATACAGGGTCCTTTGTTACCTCTGTCTCATGTGAAAACTAAAACTCTATTTTGCTTTGTTGGGAATATGACTTCACATGTGGCTGGTCCAATTTGTTAACTACAATTTACTTTAACCGTAAGTTAATAATCTTTGCCTGAAGAAAGGTGCTGGAGAACATAGAAGCCTAACTTTCTCATGATGTAATAAAGGTATTGTCTGACTTTGTTTCTGTGTAGCCAAATACAAACAGCACATGGACCGGTAGGTGTTTATTCAGAAGTTTCATTGAATTAAGTTTACTCAAGAGTAAAAGGAATAGCATTGCAAAGATGCAAACAAGTGTCATATAATTTTTTTGAGATACATAAATATATTAGTATTCTCGGAAAAACAGTACAAAAAGTGCAGACATACGTGTTGCATCTGCTTTGCTAATACACATCTGTGCATAAAAAGATTGTGGCCTAAAAGAGTTGCAGAGGTATTGGAGAACAGCTTCTAGTCAGTGTAGAGAATGATGAGTGGTGTAAGGCAGGTCCATAATAATTTATGCTAGTTCCAGTATCACATTAATATTACATCTAAATGAAAGAAGCAAATCACATAGGCTTGACATAATGTTCTCCTGGTCTGTTCTCAGTAAAAAACACACACACACACACAAAAACCATAGCTCTGTTTATTACCATGTAAGTAAAAAGAAAGAATAACTGTTTCCTTGCCCTTCTAATTAGGGTCCTGAGTTTTGAGAACAATATAAAACAGTGCCTCTAATAAGAAACCCTATAAAAATAACATCTGTTTTGGTAATGGGACACTCATCTTTTGACTTCATGACGGCATCAATCTGGACCTGTCTGTGCAGGTCTTTAACTTCACCACAGTTCATGATATAACAATAGCAATTCTTTCTTTTTACTGTCTACACTAGTCACAGAAGCATTAAGGATACTGGTAGCTGAGACAGCATGACATGACAGACAGAATCCAATTTTTATTGTAGAAAGTAAGAAAGAGACTACTGATGTGCTTGGGAGTGTGGATGGAGACTGAGGATAAAGTCTGTTTAGGGGCATGATCTGTGTGATTGCCAATATATATTTCAGGACAAATCTTTCATGATATTTAATCCAGCTGCAGGAAAATTTAAAGAGATGTAAATGGTGTCCATCATGCATTAGTTCCATGTTACAGAACTGTGTCCAAATATTTCTAATTTACTTGCACTTAAGCCAGTGTAGGAAACAGCTTGCATACCTTTTACGAGTCTGATAAACTGATTTTCAGGTCACTGTTTTGTGATTTCCTCTTAAGTTATATGGGGACAGATACAAAAGTTAGGATGTATTTATTTTTATTTTGCTCTCTCTAGGGTTTCTCAGTATATTTAGTCTCAATTAGAAAAAAAACACAATTTTTTTCAAAATGTATTGCTTAGTCCCATTGAACAGCTACTATCAAGACTCAAAATTATCAGATTTATTGGCATTTGTGTTACAGGTGTATTGTAAAAGCCAGAACACGAAGAATGTCCATTTTTATCAGCACAGAGTTGTGTTCTTATGTCCAAGACAATGCTTTGCATGTTTTAGCCCTTTCAGTTATTGATAATATAGAACAGTGTTAAAGCATTTGCTAAAACAGTGATGCTCAACTCAGAGCTCCTGAAACAGACAACCTCACCCACTATTTCATTTTTTCCTTGATTTTTTTTCTTTTCATGGGTATCATTCAGAAGTTCTTCTTGAAAATAAAGAATGCTGCTTTTCCTGGCTCCTGCAGCTAATACCGAGAGGACAGAACTATATCAAAGGAGGAAGGGCGAAGAAGCACCACCTTGATGTTCAAGAAGAATAACATGGAAGCTTATTTCTGGAACTGAGGCAGCTTGTTGCCACTGCTTGTCAGCAACACTGGAAGTTCTGGACTTTGGACTACAGTAGTATTTCTTTCAAATGACATATAATCCATGAATGTTGAGCTGCATTTTCCACAGTTTGGTGAAGGAATAACACAATTAGATATTGTTATTCAAAGCCACAAGAAAATAATCTAATTTCATACTGTACATGCTAGTGTGTGTGCATGCGTGCGTTGTTACAATGAATGATTAAACAAGAAATTTGTAGTATATTTTGATTCTGATAATTAAGCATTTCAAGTGTGATATTTTCCAGCATTTTTCTTAGAAGAAAAAAGAACACACATTGTTTTACTGGAAACATTTATGAAAATCCTGAATCTGTGATTCAGTCTTTAGCAGGAGAGCATGAAAATCATCAGCGGAAACTGTTGTGTTCCTTCCAAAGCAGTCTGTGCAATGTCAGCTCCCTGTTGCCTGATCCTTCCACTCCAGAAGCATCAACTCAACACAGCACAACATTATGCTCTTATTTGTGCTTCTGACACAAATGATGGTTTTCTGCAGTTCCTGGATTAGACAAGATGACAAACGACTCCATCTTTATTCATTTGCTTTACCAAGTTTCATTCGTCACCTTCTCAAGTCTAAAAAATTAGCATCTTGCGACAAATAATACAGATATTTGTAATATTTGCCACTGCATCTTAATATCTAGCTACAGAGGTTTCAAAAAGTTGAATTAAACAAAAATTATGCAAACTTTTAAGGATAGAAGCAGAAACAGAACTGTGTAATTTCCCAAGCATTATTGACCTTTACCTCCCAACAGTCCCCACTAGCAGAGCCAAAGGTGCAGGACAGCTATAGTCTGCTGTCTGGAGGACCACACACTCCACAGCTGTGGGCTCCAGAGATAAATCTAAGAAGCTATGATGATGGGGCAGGCTTGATTCTCAGTTATTGCAATTACCAGGTAGCAGTGGGTACTTTTTTTGCATGAAAATAGTTATTCATGCTCACAGAATGCCTGTCATCACTTTAACTGAGATTTTACATATGTGAATTTATGTGTGGAGATACAATTCAAAGAGATGAACCACACTCATTTGAACTGTTTCTTGATATATGCAAAACCTTTCTGGGCAAATACATTACGTAGGAGCACCAATTATGACCATGTCAGAATTATAACTTCCACCTGTGATTTCACATTTGCAGCCACTAACATGCAAAATACTGCCATTTTATTCAATTGCACATGCATAGACTTTTGCTTGAGTACAACAGCATGCATGTTCATAATTTCCGCCTTTGCATCTTTTACAGATAATATAGATGCATTTTGCTTTTATATGTTACTTAATATCATATACCAGTCATGGCAACTGGATGTGAAAGAAGTTTAGTTACATGACTTGAAGTTGCTCTCACCTGGGTGACTGAGAATCTTCACAGATTTATATTGTATCATTGTACAATGCATTGGAATCTTCAAATTAAAACGTTTTTAAACTCTTACAAATTGAATATATAAGTACAACATAAATAATCTATGATTAGGACGAAATTTTAACTTGGCCCCTAAGTCCTGACTATATCATCCCTAATACTCTTTGAGGCAGAAAAGATTCAGATTGCTACAAGCACCTTCTACAGATAGGGGGAGAAACTTTTTTCTTTAAAAGGATTGACCTGCTTTCCTCCATCATCCATTTTGCAGAAAAAGTAGACACGCCGTGAGTCATGGAGGTTAGCATGGATACAGGTCAGTTCTTTCCATCACCCTCCTTGGGAGAATACGGCGGAAATATATGGCAGAGTGAAAGGATTTTAGCTGGAAAGAGACAATAAGAAACCGCGGGGCCTTTCTTCCCCTCTGCCGCCGTCCTTCGATTTTCATACCTGTGTGGGGAGCTCTCGGCTTGGCGCCTCAGGCTCCAGGTAGCGGAGTGGCTGACGGCAGCGGAGGAGAGAAAGGAGGTGGATGGGAGGGGGACGTAGATGGGAGTGGGTGGGACGATGGCTCAGCTTTTTCTAAATATAAAAATAAAGCTGGAAGGGGGTGGGTCGCGAAAGGGGTGATATATAAGGGAAATGCCTCCACATGAGAGAAATAGTCGCAGGCAGGGAAGTCTCCTGCCTCTTCATGGTGGTTGGCAGGGCAAGAGAGAGTCATAGGAGGGAGGAGGAGGAGGAGGAAAGCAGCCACTGGCCCCCTTTCCCTTCCCGGCCCTTGACGCCTCTCGAGAGGGGAAGCCGCGAGGAGGAGAAGGGGGAAAAGGAGGGCGGCCAAGACCCCTGCCGCCCCTTCTCTCCCCACCCTCGTTGCACGGCACCCCTCGCCTTCCACCTCCGTCAGCGTGAGGAGAACGACTAGCTCAAGAGCCCTTCTTCCTCCTTCTCTCCTCCCCAGCTGACAACATGGCTGCGTCCGCCTCTGCTGCCCAGGATGAGCTGAGTAAGTCTTGCTTTTGTGGCCGCGGGGACGGAGGGAGGAGAGGGCAGCGGCGGGAATTAAAAGGGTACCCGGGCACCCCTGTGGCGGGGGCGCCCCCTCGGCTGCCAGG